TTCTTCTTCTTCTTCTTCTTCTTCTTCTTCTTCTTCTTCTTCTTCTTCTTCTTCTTCTTCTTCTTCTTCTTCTTCAAAAGAAGAAATCTTTATTAGTCATATTAATCTCACCGCATGTGATGCAACCATTTAAAATAGCACAATTTCTGGTATCATATTTACCTTTTCTTTCACAGCTCTCCAGATGGCACAGGTGATGTCCTCAATGACATCGGGAATATGCTAGCAAACCTCACTGATGAACTGGATGCAATGTTGGAACAGGAAGTCACTCTCAAGAACTAGATGTCTAGTACGACCTAAAAAAAATGTTTATTAGTCATGTTCACAATTAATCTCAGTGCATGTTGTGCAACCATTCAAATTCTTCACTACTGTCTAGTGTTCACACAACATATATGTTGTGGAGGCTATAACAGCAACAATTATCGAGTTTTCAAACACTAACAACAACACTTCAAAACTATCACAATTTTGTCAATAATAATGACATTAAAACTTAATCATATTACACTTTTAAATGGTCACATAGCACATAAACTGGATTACAAATATAGTACAGCAGATGTTTACACCATATCTGTATTTCATAGTCATCTGTCAGTCTCGATCAATACATTAGTGCAGCATTGAAAAAATACTATTCTCAAACACTATAACAATAAATTGAAAACAAACAATTTACTCTGGATATTTATTCTTCCTGAATCGTCGAGACCGATAGTGATTTTTGGGGAGCAGTTATGAATAGCAATTATGAATGTAACAAACCTGCTGAATAGTTAATTGTATGTGTGTGAATACTTGGCTCACAGCCCATAAGCAACTGTCATCTTATAGATTGAAAATGTACTTACATCAATGTTTATTAAACCATTTGCAACTTCTTGCAAGCATATGTAATGTGATCTCAAAAGCGTTAACGTGTTGTCATTCAACACGTGCTATTCAGTAATTACATATAACTGATAACTGTTGAGGCTACATGAAACCATAGGATGAATACTGTATTTTGTGTAATTGAAAAGGTTTTTGTGCTCTGCCAAGTGGGATTACAACATAGCGTATAAGTTAAAAAAAAAAAATTCCATCTGTCAGCCAGACAATCATGAAACCAACCACACTTAGGCTTTTTACATATGGTTAGTTTGCTTTAGGACGCTTCTTCTCATGAAATATGTTCTTGTATTGGATGAGACATTGCAAACAATTTACTAACAAATTCAAACACTGAAATACCTGTATTCCTACCCAAGTACTTACAACTTTTCAAACCATTTACAATTTGTACTAAATGAAAATGCCACCAGACAAATTACCTTTCAAAAGCCACATAAGAGGCACAAAAAGGGGACTATATATTCTGGAAATGCAATGCCCCTTTACTCTCCACAATTTCACCACTGTGATTGGTACCTTTAAATGAGCTTCCTATCATGGGCTCAAATTTATTTTTCTTTCATGTTATCTTAGTCAAGTAGATACTAGTACATAGGATACGACCAGGATAACTATACAATGTCCAGTCTCGTCCATCACAATCCTGGAAGACCCAAGAAGGGAGTGGTACAAATTTTGCATATTTTTTAGTAAGGCTACCCATGTTGATGTGATAATTTGGACTCCCTTAATGTTCCTGACCAGAACTCACAAATGCTGATTTCATTTGATTAGATAGCAAGTGTTGTGTGGTATCATGTAATTCCTCCTTGCTACTCATCTTAACCTATAGAGTTAAAGCACAATTTATGTTTTTCATATATAAATATATATATATATATACTAGTCACTTATACTGGCAAGCTTGCTACATTAAGTGATAATATGTAACTGTAACTGGGGTAGGAAATATTTTGTTTAATTTCTGTAAATATATTGTGTACAGACTTGTAAATAACCAAGGTGAACCATTGTTTACCGAATGCTGTGTGCAGCACCGTCCTTTGTGGGGAGTTTCAACAAATTTTACAACGGGCAGAGGGTAAGACTTTAATAATCCTGCAACTCCCATCTTTGGTGGTGCTGGACACAGTTTTCTGTTTATCACAATCTCTTTGAGCTTTTGAAAAATTAAAGCTCATATTGAGGGGGATAACCTTTTAGGTTCTCACTGTGGTTAAAGTGAGGCAGGTGCTGGATGGCGTTTGCAGTGATAGTCTTAAATACTTTTCTTTGGTCCCTCTCCCATGAGTAGCATTTATTTCCTTTTTAGCCCAAATATCAGTTGGCTACTAGCTATTTCCTACACCTTTCCCTGCATTTTGGGGAGTCTGTATCCGATGCTCACTTTAATGTGTCACATTCATTGGAATTTTTCACAATTATTCATTACATTTTTGGGTTTCATGCACAAATATTGGCATCCAGCACAATTATTTTACAAACTTCAAGGATTACACTTTTTAAGTTTGTCAAAATCATCGATGCTTTTGCTCTTTTAGATGTTTATGCAGCCGAGGTAGAATTGACAGATTGTTATCAAAATAATGTTTATATATAGGCTTCTTTCATTACAGCACCGTAGTAAAAATGTATATATAAATATTGTTTACGAGTCCAGTTCATACCTAATCGGTTGTAAACGTGAAAAATGAATAGCCGAGTGACCTGATATGAACCGCGGATGTGCTAGGTCAGACAGTTGGGTATCGTCATATAGTTAATCAGTCTTCAAGCTCCTTTTTTCAAACCAATACTTCTTCATATAAACAAATCTTTTGGTTCCCTTATGTAATACTTAGTTAAAAGCCATAAGCAGGTGTTATAAAGCCACTGCAGTAATCTTTAGCCTCTTATGCTATACTTGTAACATTTTAGATGGAGCTAATATTTTTGTATTTGCAATATATTTCAAAGTAATCGAGCTGAAATTTAACATTTCACTCATTAATGAAATGACGATTATGACTTGCACGTAAGGTGATGACCTCTGTCTGCCTCGGCATCTTTAGTGCTGGTGTCAGCTTAGTCCTTTTTTTTCATTACTGTATGTACATGATATATCTTAATAATGACTATCAACAATTATAACCATTTGTGTTTTCATGGAGTTTTTCATTGATCCTTTTGCAAGATGGGAATAAACACAATGAACCCGCTTTCTAAATCATTTGTGCTACAGTACACATTAAAAATCCCCTCGAAATGAAATTCAGGGGGGGTTCCCCAACTTACAAGCGTACGACTTATCGACACCCGCCGATAGGAATGGGATTAAACTTGAAATTTACACTATTTTATTTACCTGACGACTTAATTTTTAATTTTATTTATTGTCTTTTGTCATTCTATTTTTTCTAGTATCAATCACGGACTCGATCCCAACAGATTGTATACACGAGACTGCGCCTTGGGTACAGGTACCTATGGGAGTACATTGGAAACCCCGAACCTGGCCACACCGTTTGTAAACTTCGTGGCCAATCCAACACTCGCACCCGCTCGCTACATTCTCGCTTGTCCTATGGGCTATGACCTCCTACAGGTCCACAGCCGTTACCAACACCTCCCTCGCCAGATATCCCTCCTCCTAGTGACAGGCCTGCCAAGCTTTGCCATAAACAGATGAAATGTACCGGGAATTTTCGATCCACACACTCGTCGCTGTCCCTTTATGCAACTTGCCAACAAAACCCATGGCTCTTCGGGCTTTTATGCCTTAATGCACGAGTCGTGAAGGCAAGCGTGAACCGAGCGCGCTTCCCAGATGGGCGCTATAAACGCTTCACCTTGCACGGGATGTAAGAGGGTGTTCAATAAACCAGTCCCCTCGTGAGGTAAATTCTGAACAAAAAAAATTCTTCTCCGAGGACAAACTTTTTGGGAGTGACAATTGGGAACTCTTGGAAGAACCTGCCAGAATGTTGCGACAGCACCGAGAGTAGCTCTTTCAACGCCAGACTTCACCAACACTGGAGTACGTTCAGATATATTCAGGAGCCAGTACTTGCCAACAGTGCATATCAGATGTGACCGACCGCCTAAGTGGCTAATGAGCCCATCGGTGGCGTTGGAGTAAACCACACTATAACTCTTCGTATTAGACTTAAGATAGTTGGCTATACTGTATTGTTCCAATTTACTTATAATACGATATAAAACATTGTAAATTATTGTTCCCGACTAAATAAAAAACTTGAATCAAACGTAAGCATCTGAATATAACTTTTGAGTAAAAATATTTAGGACAACCTCCCTTTTAAGTAAGTCGATTGTTTTCTTTAATAACGTACGAGCACACTTCAAAAAGGACATAATTAAATTACAATTTCTCTTAAATTAGGTGTATTTCGGCGTAAATTTAAAGTACAACCGAAACAAAAACCCAGAATTTATGAACGATAAACGAAATCGACTAGTGAAGTGAGCAAATTACCGTATATACTCGTGTATAGTTCGAGTTTTTAAGACCGAATTTTTAGGCAAAAAATTGGGGGTCGTCCTATACATGCGTAATAGTTTTGTTAGGTTGAACCCGTGCGTGATGGGAAGGGCGAGGAGCAACTTTTAGCTTCAGAAATGAAAAATATTTACCATTTACTACCAGTAAACAATGGAAACGTAAAGTATGTACCAATTAGTAATGAAAAGTTGTGCAGTTCCTTCAGTAAATGAAGCTTACCAACTTACAATAGGCTAAATTACCTTACAACGTGTTTTCAGTAGTCCATGTTGAAGTTCTTAGCACAGGCTAACTTATCATATCATATACGGTATCACAGTTCTCACTGATCTACAAGAAATACCGGTATTAAAAACCTTTTCGATATTTCACACTTAATATAATACCCGGTAGTCTACTTCAACCTCCTATTGTTTACAACGACGCATCACACACCACCGGCTGTATCGGCTAGACGGTACACGTGTTTTTCGAATCTTTTCAGTTAAAAAACCGTTACATCGCACGTATATTTTACCTAAACTGCGCCTGAATGAATATATTCTCGGAAATAAATAGTGGTTTTGCTGAAACGTGATGCATTTTAAGGTAAAATAGGATAAAATACATGACGAAAACAAAAGATTTTACCTAACCTTCCGATGTTCAAGAGAAGTTACTTGTTTTTTTAATAGTTTTTGGTTAAAATATTGTTATATTACAATGGTATTCTATTCATACTGTGCTTGATATAATGCATTCACGGAAATGTAATATCTTTGCCGAAATGACGTACGTATTACAGTGCAAAGTGGGATAAAATCGTGACGAAAGCAATGACTTTCGCTTTCTTTCGTTCAAAAGATGTTACCGTAATCGCTTTTCGAATGGTTTTCGGTTAAAAAACTGTTGTATTACGATAATATTCTATCCTAATTGACTTGAATAAATATTACGATACCATATTTCTGAATATTTTCATTAAAATCCATCAAAATCATTTTCCTTGTCATCGTCTGCAGCACCAAACGGCTTCTCCCAGTCCTCTCCTTGAACAGGGCTACAGGGTACGTGTTTTTCGAATCGTTTTCAGTTAAAAAACTATTACATCACACGTTTATTTTACCTAAACTGCGCCCGAATGAATATATTCTCGGAAATAAATAAATAGTTTTGCTGAAACGTGATGTATTTCAATGTAAAAAAGGATAAAATACATGACGAAAACAAAAGACTTTACCTAAGCTTTCGATGTTACTCGTTTTTTTAATAGTTTTCTGTTATATTACAATGATATTCTATTCATACTGTGCTTGATATAATACATTCACAGAAATGTAATATTTTTGCTGAAATTACGTGCGTATTACAATGGAAAGTGGGATAAAATCGTGACGAAAGCAATGACTTTCGCTTTCTTTCGTTCAAAAGATGTTACCGTAATCGCTTTTCGAATGGTTTAGTTAAAAAACTGTTGTATTACAATAATATTCCCTCCTAATTGACTTGAATAAATACTTGAATGGAAATATACAATATTTTTTTTGAAACTACCCGCGTTTCAGTGTAAAGAGTCGTAATAATAAATGGTAAACAATTTGCCTTCGGCACTCATGTTTCATGCACGGCGAGCCTCGGTTTATAGGACGTAGAGCGTTTTTAGTGAAGGTTTTGTTGTTCCATTACCCTCAAAAACATGGGTCAAACTATAAACGAGGAATATCGTAAATTAACGATATCTTGGTCAAAAAATCAGGGTCGACCCATAAACGAGGGGGGGTTATAGTCGAGTATATGCGGTATGTAAAATTACGTATTATATAGAAAGTAACTGTCAAAAGTGCATAAACTTAATTATATTTATATTGTTTAAAGTACTAAGACAATGTAATTCACAAGCTGCAAGAGAAAATATCCCTAACAATATCAACGGAAAAACAAAGTAATTTAAAGCAGCTATCAAACAGGGAGGGTTAGGCAGCTACCACAGGGCCGGATTATGCTTAATAGGGGCCTGAGGCACAGATCAACTTGGAGCCCCCTACCCTCAAGGTATATATATATATATAGCAAGAACAAAATATACCAAAATTTATCAATGATTTCATCAATATAAAGCTTCTGCAAAATAACACATTCAATGTTCATAAGAGACAGAAAATTGAGACATTCATAGGACATCGTTGAACGAAGTTCAAGTTTCATATGCTTCAACTTCGAGAAGGGTTGAATTTGGGGGCCTCGCCTGAGGCCAGTGCCTCGTGGTTAATCCGGCACTGAGCTACCAAACGGGTAGGGTAGGCAGCTATCAAACAGGGAGGTACTACCGCCGTTTGGGCAGTTTATCCGGTGTTAGTACAGAAACAACGGGGGACCGGGAAACCAGTGGTGTTTGGTAGTGAGGGTCACACTGGATAACACCCTTCTCACGTGTGTCCTGGCCAAGGCTGCAACCCTTAAATTGAAACAGTTTATTTAGCAAGAAAAACATAGATACAGAGTGTATAACAATAACAATATTAACATGGCTGAGCCAGTTGACAACCTGAGCTCTCCTATAATCACCTGATATATATCTCAAGGAAGTATTATGTAACATTTAGTAACATCTGGAATAGTACAATAGCATGGTGGTAATAAGAACATATCATAATGTTACCCTTGACATGTTCGTGAGAGTTATGCCCGTTACCGCTGTACTACCCTGCTGCCATGTGGCATCACATTCAAAGTTTTGATTAATATACTGTATTGGTAGTCATACTTAAAAACAACATTAATATTTAATAATTTAAGGGACTGAACTAACTGGACAAATTCATTGCGATAAGGCAGTCAAAATATTCTTAAGTGTAGGAATTTGCCTGGTTTGAGTAGAATGAAAGGATTTTTTAGTCCCTTTAAAAATGATCAACAAACAATGAAGGGTACCCAAGTTTTTGTGCAATGGAACGAATGTGTTTCAATTCTTCATCAATAAATTCACCATCACAAATATGCAAACATCTCAAAAAGATAGCAGAAAAAACTGACATTTTGGTAGACTCCAGATGACTCGATAAAAAATGTATCAAACTGTCTACCTGTGTAGCCTTTCTGTACACCTTAAATTTATAGTTATGGCCATTTCTAATGATAAACACATCAAGAAATGGAAGGGAACCATTTATTTATTTCAAATTTGAATGTTTTAAGTATGACTCAACCACTACCAATATATTAATCAAGAATAGCCAAACTTTGAATGTAAATGGAAGTGTTTATTGTACAGCAAGTTCTGCTATAACGCGTGTTTTGTCAACGCGAATTGGCTGTAACGCGATTCCACTCGAATGGTTGTTGTGGCTTGGCGCGGGGTCATGCAGTGTTTACAGTGCACGTTCGACTTCACATGTTCAATTGATTTATGTGTTTTGTTTGTGAAGATTTGCAGAAATAATTTACGTAATATTTACGTATACGGTATGCCTGTACAGTACAGTACTTATATGTAAATTGTAAAATTTTAAAGAAGAGAAAAACAAAATACGTAGCGTTTTACACCCACGCTCTGTTTACATCACACACGATCAGTTTGAAACACCTGGGAAGTTTTTAAGCGTCCTCAGTGATTTTTTTATTACCGTTTCTCCAATTTTCTGACTATGGAAAAGAAGAATATCTC